GTTCATCTAGCTGGCTGCTACAAAATAAGTAGTTAATGCTCCCCACATAAACTAAACGGATGAAAAGCTATCAGAGTACTCTGATGAGAGCACCTGAGATTAAAACCCGTGACTGATTTTAACGTACCAAGGAAAATATTTTACTAGAGGGAAATGCTAAACATATTTATCCTGTGGTGTTTGCTATAATAAATTAATAGTCAAAGATTCCTGAAAGGGATTATATATTCATATAAAGTAAACAGCACACAGAGTAGCTAAGCATACTGGCTGAGAGACTTGTGGCTTCAGGTCTGATCTCTGGCTGGTGGTCAAGAAGAAATGTTCTCCACAGTGTAGCATTTGACAACAAGTAGTACTATGGGGGCTTATTTCCCTCTGAGATATCTAAGATATCGAAGTGTTAGCACATGTCAGAGACAGTTGGACCTGGGATGCTGAATGTCAGATGGCACTAGTCAAGAAGGGCCAAAGCGCCCATTGTATTGTGACAATTCCTATGACAGGAAAGAATTGAGTAAAAATCACACTCACCATTCAAAGTGACAGTTCAAGGACTCTGCCCTTCTCCTCTGTCCCCCTTACTTCAGTTAACATTTTGTAATCCATCTCTCCTTGAATTGTATGTTTTGCGGGTCCCAGCCACATTGGTTCCTCCTTCTGCTACTGCCACCTACCAGTTTTATTATTCTGTTGCAGCATAAGGGCATATAGAAGAAGTTCTTGTTCAGCACTCACATAATCACAGGACAGGGATTCCTTTGTCTAAGATGCCAAGGCTTATTCAAGTTTCTCCAACACCCTCCCCTCACCCAACACCTTTTGCATAGCACTGGACACAAGCAATATCAAGATCACTCTTTGAAAGCCAATCCAACAACAAGGGAGGGGTGGGATAGTATATACACATTAGCTTCAGTGTACTACAACAGCTTTTCTCTTCTGTTTCCCACCAAAGACTGTTTACACAAACTACAGGGCTTAACATTTTCTATCACCAAGAAAACTTTGAAGAAATAAAATAACCATGGGTCTGAGCTGCAAAATCTAGAGGTGAATTAAGATCTAGTTAACTTAAGGGGGATTGAGGGGCAGGGAGCAGGAGAGAGAAGAAGGGTTCAAATCTATCTTTAAAGAATATACAAATCCACAGATCTTTCCCGAAAACAGAAGACACCCAGCCACATGCCTGAAAGTGTTAAATTGTGTCTTACAGCAGCTGATTCACAAAAATATACACAAATAAAGGAAAAGGCCTGCCCAGTGGTGAGACGAGAGAAGTGGGTGTGTCTGAAAGGAAAAAGCATTGGAAATATGAGTACAAACAGGTCTATACAATTATCTTGCATGTAAAATTAAAAGGCACAAGGTTCTATACTCTGTTATGCCAGTGAAAATCTGGTTATTCCACTGATACTTCAGATTAGCGTAACAGAGCAAAATTTGGCTCTACCTAAAATTATTCCCCGTCTTGTTTTGAAGCTGTTATTTAAGTACTGTTGCTCACACAAGCACTGTTCTTTTCAAGAGCACAGAGGAAACAAATTGAGAAGTTCACAAGTAGAATTTTTAAACACATATAAAGATAAGAATTATTCACAAAGATCTTCAAAAGAAGAGCAAGTGTACCTAGAAATAAATTATACAAAGTGAGCACTTGTAAGTCAGCCTGAAGTGTCATATTCTCACTGCAATGACTCTTGCTCCGACACCCACTTCACCTCTGCCTCTACCTGTTTAACCAGGGGTTTCCTATCCCACAAGGGATTTGGGAGGTTAAATTGTCAACATGTGCAACATGCTTTAGTGGATGGGAGGTGCCACAGAAGAGAAAATTATATGTTGGTACTTGGATATTATAGTTAGGAGGACATTAGAAGTGTCTGAAGCAGATGCAATAAGCCCAGAGGTTGTTCTCTTTAGCAGAGGTATTCTCCCATCTGCCACGTCCACCATATCTGCAAAACTTTAACCCTAATTGAACCTTTTTAATACTAGTTCTCCATACATTTCAACTCCTAATTGATGCTGTTAAACTTTGTGCTCACTGTATACCTGGGAAGCCCCATAACCCTGTAAAAACTTAAGCCAGAATAGCATACTGGAAGGAGAAAGTATAGAAATACAAAGAGTATGGTCGAATGTGTGCAATTAGGCATCATCCCCCCAATCATTTTGATACAGCAGTGGTATTTAATCCACCCTTGCAGCGGCTCAGCTGAGCAGAGCAAGAGAAAAATCCTGAAGTTTCTTGAAATCTTGTCTGTACAAGCAGAGGAAATAAAAACAGGATTTGCTCTCTAACCCTGATTACTGAAGACATCCTTTGAGAAGCTTCATCAAACTAGTGGGTGGACAGGGAAAATGGAAGAAAGAAAGGCAAACGTGAGAGTTTAAAAAAAGAAAAGAAGGAGCAGAAAGAGAATTTACCTGCCAACAGGTCGATTTTGGACGCTGCCAATCTGCTGCGTTTACTGTTTTACCAGCTTGCATTACTGGGGAGAAAAGTTTAGGAAGGAACATTCTCAAGGACTTTTCATAAGCTCTCACTCTCGCCATCAGAAAAGAGGAGAAGGGAAGTTTTTCTCTGGATTGTTTGACTTTTTTGGCTCCTGAAAAGTTTTGCAAAGAACAGTAAGAAAGTGCGAATTGTTAGAACACATCTTTTCTAAATGAAAAAATAATGCACACAAAATAGAACAATTTCAGTTCAACAAAATTACAATGTCCACCCAAAACCCACACTACGCTTCGTGATGTTGGTTTAAACAAATGAAAAAAACCCAAGCATTTCAACTGAAATCTGGAACACAAGGGGTTTGGAGATTACCAACAACCGGCTAAGATCCGCCATCGGAACACTCTCCAAGGCCAAGAGAGATGTAAAAGAAAACAAAACAAAACAAAAAGGAAAAGGCAGCAAACACTTGGATATAAATCCTGCAATATGTTAACATTTTAAAGGAATTCCTAGAACAGTGAAAAATTAAAAATGAAGGAAATAAAACAGTAGCAACAGAGGTTACCTGTCTGAGCACCTACAATTCCATAGAGAGAACAGGAGTGGATCGTGTGTCTCACACCAGCCATATAGCCCATAAACCTTCTCAAAAAGAGTGAGCCATGAGAAAGATATTGTATACACGGGTTGCTTTCACAAAGTCTCTCTAAGCTCTTGAGGCCCCTTACATATTTAACCAACTAGGGCTTTTTGCATTTGAGGAAGAGGAGAGGAGGTTTAAAAGAGTTACTGATTTCATGTGTTAGATTAAAAAGTCCAGTGAAAAATTTGATGAAATGTCCTCTCTTTTTGGCCAACATACAGATTAGTTCAGAGGTGTTTCCTGGGCAAAATATCACACATGAAAGATTATAAATGTGAAGCAGGAGGGAAAAGCCATCAAAGTATGACCACATAGCTCGGAAGGGTGGAACACGAAAAAATAAATAGTCCATGTGAGTACACAGCATCGCTCTTCCATCATGTGTTACAGACGCAGCATTGTAGCATTCCAGAAAGGGGCAATTTTATAAAACACATCAAAGAATTAAAATAATACAAGGCGTAACAATATACAAAGCCATACAGACAATTTAGAATTATTCATGATAAACAAGGAATTGTAACATGTAACCAAATCACATAACAGAAAAATTCATAACCCCCCAAAAATATCACTGTTACCAACAGGATAACAAATTCCATCAAGTTTAATTTAAGAAACTTATTTCTGCAAACCTAAGTTCTTGCTTGGCTAACTCAAGGTTCCCTCCCCGCTCTTAAATCTATTTTTTAATTAACTCATGTACTATGATTATTTGTATCAACTCTTTAATAAACCCCATCAGCATATTTTGATAACCCATTTTTCCCAATATTAGCTTCCAAACCAGAATATGACAGGTAATGTTAGCTCTATTAAGGTACTGGAGGGTGGAAAGTGTTCTTTAGGACTTGGAACTCAAGAGAGTATAGCACATAGTGCTGAGCTATATAGTGTTTAGATGTGATGAGACATCTCTTGGTTAGCAAAGGCTTGAGATTTTAGTTGCGTATTACATGCATACATGTGAAACCCATTTTTTCTTCCCCACTGACCATGGGGCAATGGGTAGATTAGGGGAGGAACATACAAGATTGATTCAAATGGACAAATCTTTGAATCCTCAGCAAGGCTTTCCATAAGCAATATCAAAATTACTGTCTACGCGAATGTGTATAAAGGTTTAACTCCTGATCCTACTCCATAACAAGCACTACCCAAATACTTTTCTCCAATCTTGGAAAAAGAAAAAAAAAAAGCAGCAATCACACAAGAGCATCTCATCACAAGGGAGCCAGCCACAACATGATATCCATAGTCTATTTGCTTGTTTCAGAATAAATATATGTACCATTTCACAAATTTATATTATTCTAAAGGGCAAGTAGGAAATTCTAAAAGGTGAGCTGCGTTAAATGTTCCTCCTGCCACAATCTCTTTCCCCCTAGCAATGAGGGGACTCAAGACAGCTCATATCAGATAGCTATTACCAGCCACTTTCCACCAGCATAGTATATTTACTAACTGACACAGTAGTGCAGAGGCTCTAGCTGATTACTTCCAGCTGGCATGGAGCTGACTTGTCTGCTCTCCCTCATTTATATCCTCCATAGGTGCTAACAGTATGTACAGTAAAGTAGGGTTCAAAACGGCAGGTTCAATCAGGGTCTCAAAGGGAACACACAACACTACTGAAAAAATAGCTCTTTAGAAAGCAGATAAGGGGAGGCAAGCCTGTGAGGAAGAGTTTTCTCACCCAATAATTAGAAAGTTGGGTGGGAAATAGCCCATGCTGCAGTGTTTTGATTCTTTATAGAAGTGAAAACCTTTGTTTTAATTTGTTATAACTTGTGTATTTGAAGGATCAGGAATAAAATTTCAAAGATGACCTTGACTGTTGAAACATCTTTAGTTGCTGGATCAGCTGGACCACTCCATCAGCTAACATCAACAATCAACCTTTCACTTGTTTTTAATAATAATATTTAATTCTACAAAACCCCCTCATTTTATTACATTCCTTTTTAAAATTAAAAAAACTGTACAAATAAGCATGATCAAACCTCCATGAAAGCAGGTTAATACTGTTCTGTTTATTGCCTCTTGAAGTCTCTCTCCGTAGTGTCCATGAGCTGTGTTTGCTTAATTCGAGTGACGGTAAAGCAGCAGAGCAGCGGAGAGGTGAGAAGGGGCCACAGAGGTGGGAAGCGCAGAGCCTCAGAGGATATATGGGACATGCTCCTTTAAAGTATCCAGATAACAGCAGCATTGCACACACACAAACCCACCCTCCAAACCCTCTTTTCACAAAACCATTTTTCAGTTGTGAATGTTTTACTTTTTTCCCCCCCCCTAAAAAGAGGCGCATCTCTCAACCTATCTGTGGTGCTTTATGAACCCAGAAGGAGGGGAAGGAACAAGCAGGGGGTGAGGAGGAGGAAGGTGAGGACTTAAAATTGGACCTAACACTGCTGTTTTGGTTCTTAGTTTCCCAAAACTGCTCAAGTTGAATGAGAAATTGCACAGCCAGAAGGACTGAAGAAAGAAAATCAGTCAGCCGAAAAAATGAAACTGAATAGCCCAAAAACCAAAAAGGAATAAAGCAAAGCACACACACATACACAGGATCCAGGATCCATCTATTCACTGCTTGTGGCCTTTTATATTTTTATTCTAGCTGGGCCTTTTTTTTTTTTTTTTTAAATCTTCTGCACAATTTCCCAAAGCCAAGAACCGTGTATTTTTCCCCTGGATCCATGCTTTGGAGCTCAGCTGACAAAAAAGAGTTCAGACATTTTTCAATATGGAAAATACAAGCCTAGTATTAGTGGTAATAAATGAACTTCAGCTTTATCCTTGAGGTTTCCACCAACCTTTTCCCTCCTCCACACCCTACCACATTTCCCCCCCCCAAAATGACAAAAATAAAATAATGATTTACAGGCTTCAAGTCAGTGTTTTGTTAAATAAGTTGTGATGTTTTCACTTTGGCCACTGTTAAAGATGCAAGCATAGAGAACGGTGTGTTGGACTAGCATGTATTAAAAAAAATGGAACATTAACAGATTATCTCTCAAAAAGACTAAAACACTAACAAATACAAGTCAATGCACATTTGTTTTAAACTAGTGTAATTCTTTTTCACATTGGATAAACATTATTTTGTACACCGAACATTACAATGCTGTTTATCTCCTCCAATCGTGCAAAAATAGTTAAAACATGCCACTTCTGCCATGAATGAGTACATGACTGATTCCTCTACCCACCTGCCTTGCAGCCAGGATTTAAAATGATAAAAAACCCAACAGATTTAACAAAAATCCCCTAAAAAACAAATATGGACACACAGCTGCCAGTTAATACTGAGATGGCAGAAGTCGCAGGTTTATGCTGAAAGCTCAAGTTTCCTGTCCCTACCCCATCACTTAAGGCCAGATCCTGTAAGGTCATAATGGGCTGATTTTAAGAGATGCTGAACTTTTCACAGCTCCCATTCATGTGAATGAGAACTGCAGATGCTCAGCACCTTTGAAAGATCAGGCCTTCAACACCCTCAGCTCTCTTAGAAGCTAAAGGCACTCAAGCAATTCACAAGATCAAGTTCTTAAAGAGGAAGGAGAAACTTCACAGCTGCATTAGTTCACAGATACTTTTGGAGAATTGCAAGATAGCATTCTAAATCCAAAAAAGTGTGAATTGCGCTGTAATATCTCCCCATGAATACACATGTTCTGCAATAAGCTTGGGACCACAGCTGCACATAAATAAAATCCTCATTTGGGTTTGAACTAGTTATCACTGACTAGAGATTGGCTGCCAAAATTAAATCAATCATATGCTCTGCAGGATTAAAAAGTAAGAGCAGCAATCAGAGAATATGTGACTTTTAATCTCACTCTTATCTAATTCCTCCCTCCCTCCCCCTCCACTCTCCTCATCTCCCTGAGCTTCTCTGAAAAACAGCATTGCAAGTTGGTTTAAAAAAAAATTTACAAGAGTGTTGTTGGTCATGTATTTACACGTGGCATCATTCCACAAGAAGTTTGATCTCATTGGCTAATAGCTGGTTCATGTTGAATAAAGCCCCCGGGAGCTTGGTGAGCAACTCTCTCTCCGTGGTCTCAGGGTCGCTGTCGACAGAGCTGGAGCTAGCACTCATATTGTCGACAGCGGCGCTAGCTGGAGGGCCCAGCTCTGGCTCGCTAGTCTCGCTGGCCGTGGACACCACAGAGAGCAAGGACATACGCCGCGTCAAGCGACCGGGGGGAAGGAGAGAAGCGGCATAGTCCGCTATGATACCAGCTACATCTAGATTACAAGCCTTGTCAAAGGCAATGAAACCTACATTTGCATTGGCCTCGCAGACGTAGAATGAGCCATCATCTTTCATCAGTAGGTCGATGCCACACACATCCATCCCCAAAATGTTTGATACTTGGACTGCCAGCTGCTTGCCTTGTTCACTCAGTGAGCACATCATCCCTACACCGCCTGGCAAAAGGGAAAAGAAGGGTCAGACCTCAGGCTGTAGTCTGGTCAAATTTCACCTGCTATCATAGCAGGGATGGCTCGATTCATGAATGGGAAACATCCGAGGCAAATCCAGAGTGCTGCAGAGAAGGATGGTCAGGAAAGACAGCAACACATACTTTAATTGTAGGGATGTTAAAGTTGACCTGCAAATTATAAAAAGAAGCCATGTGTGTTTTGCTTCTTTGTTCTGCTAGCATGTGGTCTGACATTGTGTCATTCTTCTGCCGTCCCCTCCCTGAGCACCGCTTGCTTCTCCTGTTATCTACTCGGATCTGCTATCATGAAGACTATGGTAACTGAAGAATTGGTGATCTGGCATCACAAAAGATGAGCCTGAAAACCTAAGCCACTGAGAGAAAAATGGATTTTTAGTTTTTCTTATTACCATTTAAGCAAAGACTGTTCTGAATACTTAGGTTGACCTAACTACATCGGTCAGGGATGTGAAAAATTTTGCATCCTTGTCAAGATAATGATGTTGCACTAACCTAGTGGTTCTCAAACTTCTTGGCCTGTGGCCCACCTGTCGCAATGTAAACCTTTCCATGGACCATCAGTTGTTAATGGAAACTCACCATTAATTATATATTTATGCCCGAACCATTTTGTTAGTGCTGCAGTTAGGGAGAACTGTTTAATTTAACTAGTAAGAAGAAAGGAAATATTAAATTATTAAACAGATCAAGTATTTTCACTTTCTCATGTTAGTTTATCAAACTTCTTTTTAAATAAAGTAAAATATTAATGTATGTCCAACACAAAAGTTTTCAATGTTTTTTTTATTTATGGCGGGGTGGGGAACTTTTGGATCAGGGGCCACTGACCCACAGAAAAGTCAGCTGGGGACTACACAAGTGAGAAGCAAAAAAATTGAACCCCAACTGAGACACTTTGCTCTTCTGGCACACTAGCCCCACTGGGCGAGGAGGGGGGACAGGGAGAACTGAGATTCAGGGCTTCCCATGGGCCGGATTTACTCTTCTGGGGTTCTAGGATTAGTGGATTTTGGGACCCCTATAGGCTCTGGAGTGGGGACAAAAATGAGGGGTTCAGTGTGTAAGACAGGAGTGGGATAGCAATGCAGGATCTGGAAAGGGAGGTAGGGTTCAGGAGGGAAGGGGCAAAGCAAGGGAAGGTGCAGTTGGCAACAAAATGGCAAATTAAATTTGATGTTGATAAACGTAAAGTAATGCACACTGGAAAAAATAATCCTAACTATACATATAATATGATAGGGACTAATTTGGCTACAACAACTCAAGACAGAGATCTTGGAGTCATTGTAGATAGTTCTCTGAAAACATTCACTTAGTGTGCAGGGGCAATCAAAAAAGCAAATAGAATGTTAGTAATCATGAAAAAAGGAATAGAGAATAAGACAGAGAATATCTTATTGCCTCTTTATAAAGCCATGGTACACCCACATCTTTACTGCGTATAGACATAGACGCCTCATCTAAAAAAATATATATTATAATTGGAACTGGTTCAGAAGAGAGCAACAAAAATGATGAGGGGTTTGGAAAAGGTTCCATATAAAGAGAGATTAAAAAAACTTGGGACTTTTCAGCTTAGAAAAGAGGACACTAAGGGAGGATATGATAGAGATCTATAAAATCATGACTGGTATGGAAAAAGTGAATAAGGAAAAGTTATTTACTTATTCCCTCAATATAAGAGCTAGGGGTCACCAAATGAAATCAATAGGCAGCAAGTTTAAAACAAATAAAAGGAAGTGTTTCCTCATTCAGCTCACAGTCAACCTGTGGAACTCCTTGTCAGAGAATGCGGTGAAGGCTAGAATTTTAACAGGGTTCAAAAAAGAACCAGACAGATTCACGGAGTTTATGTCCATCAATGTCTATTAGCCAGGACTGGTAGGAATGGTATCCCTAGCCTCTGTTTCTCTGGAGGCAGGTGACAGGAAAGGGATCACGTGAGGATTACCTGTTATGTTCCCTCTCTCTGGGGCATCTGGTATTGGCCACTGTTGGCAAACAGGACACTGGGCTACATGGACCTTTGGTCTGACCCAGTATGGCCATTCTTATGTTCAGGGTGTGGCCAGAAGGGAGGTGCAGTAGCATAGATGGGGGTAAGAGTGTCTAGCCAGGAGGAAGGGTGCAGGAGCAGGGTGAGGGTGCAGGATCTGGGCATGGGGGAGGGCATGCACTTGCTTTCACGCCCCACGCCACTCACAGGCAATGTCCCAGGCATGGCCTCCCACTGCTCCCAATGGCTGCAACTCCAGCCAATGGGAACAGTGGAGAAAGCCTCCTGACAGTGCTTCTGGCTGTTTCCCCAGCTAGGGGAAGGAGAGTGGCAGCGCATGGAGTTGCTTCTGGCTCTGCTTCTTCCCCACACACCAGATCCGGCAGGGAGGCTCAGGGCTCCCTCCCCTGAGGGAAGCCAGCGCTGGTGCTCTAACCTTGTGACGGGGAAGCAAGGCTGGAATGCCAGTACAGGCTCCCAGAAGCGCCGGGGGAGTGGGCTGAGGTCGAACCATGGACCGCTAATGGTCTGCAGACCATAGTTTGACAACTGCAGACCTAATCCCTTCTGTGGATGAAGGAAGCATCTATGCTATGATACCACAAAAAGTACAATGGCAGTGCTGTAGCTATGCCACTGCCATGCAAAGAATGCCTTATTTAATTCAAATACCTAATGAGTATTTGAAAGAAAGGGCAGTTTTGCTGAACATTCTTCCCTTTAATCAGAGTGTGGGCTCCCAATACATCTCAAGAAGCCTTTGGAAGACCAAGGAGGACCACACATAGCATTCCAAATACTGCCAAAATCTAAAGTAAAATATTTAACAGAAACTCTTTAAGGCTATCTTTACTCAGTGTAAGATTAAAAAGGGAGGTGGAAAGTGCTTCTGACCCAATATTTTAAAAATCTTACACAGATTTCTTAACTCCAGTGTCCAAGTTGAATACTAGGTTGATGAACAGTAATTTTGATTCCTTAAAATGCCCCTTGAAGCTTTAGTTGTATGTAGTGTTGTTTATTTCCTGTACTAAATATTAACTAGCACGTTTGTTTAATGTTAAAACGGTTGTCACAGAATGGCTATATTTCAGTGGTGGGTGTGTAAGCATTAGGAAATGTACCTAGATTTCAGACATGAATGTGCATGTTTTGCCAAGATCATTGGGATATCTTTGCTTTAATGGGCCATATACACTAATGACCTTATAGCCAAAGATCCCACTGGTTTTAATGAAAATGGTGCATGCTCTGCATCTTAAGATGAATACTCTATGGCTTAATCCTATCTGAAATACCTTTTCTCAAACCACTGTTCTGAAATGGAGTCACGTCCCCTAGGATCTGTTACATTGAAAATTCCTCAATCATTCAACCATTTATGATTTCCATAACATTTGAGAAACTGAAGTTGTACTGCACGTGAAGAAAAAGGTAAAAATGGGACTCAGCCACAGCCAACCCTCCCACAACACAACTCCCCCAACCCAGAACTGTGCATGGGAGAATCTCTTCCCTACCTCCCGTTTGAGGTCAGTAGGAGCCATGTGTCTTTGGGAAACAAAACTGCATGGAGGAGCCAGCCAGACTGAAGCTGGTCCAGCTGCTGTAGAAAACACTTTAAGCAGGTGCTGACCGACAGTGATCTCAGACAGCTCTCTCCAGTTTTCACTCCATACAGTCTCACCCTTGTGCAGAATGGTTTGCTTCAACCCCTCATCTCCTTTTTTTCTGTTGCCCAATCTATCTTATTTCCCATAACATAATCCCACTGAAAGTATTTAAACCAACCAAGACCAAAAATACCATGGCACCGATATATTTACCACCAATTCACTCTGCTTGTGTGTTCTATCCTTTTCTCCCACATAGTCTTCTCTATTTCGACTAAGCTGTGTGTCAGGGACAGTATCATTCTATATCGGTACAGTTCCTAGAACAATGGGGTCCCACTCTCAGGTGGTCCAAAGCATTACTGTAATAAACATCAATACATTAAAAAATATGAAACTTCTCAATTAAATTGGGGTTGCCACTCATCTCCCATGGGGCTTCACAAATTCCAATCCAGACCACTAAGAGTGCCATTCCTACCAAGTGAGCAGTTGCTCTGCATCCTCCCATCTGTTGAGCAGCGCAGCATGGTCCCCACTACACGGCCGCCTACCACGATGACACGCACATCCTTGCCATGGGACTCCTTGACATATTTCTGGAACAGGTAAGGGGCTTCATGACGAATTAAATGGCTCAGGTCTGCCAAATGGTGCTTATCTCGTGCCAGGAATACAGCTTTGCCTGTTCCAAGAGAAAACATTGAGATCAGGGACTGGTGAAAGAGGGCAAGAGCCACTATACATACCTTGTGTTACAGATTCAGCACATAAAGAATCTCAAATTAAAAAAAAAAAAAAAAAAATACTGCCCATCCTCATGAATTGGATATATTTTATATCCCTTTACCTTCAACTGCTTCAGTGCCGCAGAATATACAAAGACAGTCAAGGTGGTAAGTCAAAAAAGCTCTTTAATAGAGAAGCTGGACCTTTGTAACATTCATCCTTTTAAGGATAGGGGGCTGACAGATAAAAGGAGAAGCGACACAAATTGGGTAGCACACATGCAACCAACAGGCCAACCTCTCCCCTCTTTCAGGCAGAAAGGGGGAACTTCAAGGTATAAAAAGCTCTCATGCATGGGAGCTGCTCAGACAGCTACGAAATAAATTTAATTTAGAACTCTATGGCATTAACACATTGCTGTAAAATGCTTATAAAAATACCCAAGGAAAATAGCATGCCTGTAAACACAACATCTAAGTACTGAGGTGACAGACATCCCAGGGAACATGAGGGTTTTGAGAGAAATATGTGACTAATTCTGATGGAGCTGACATAATTAGACAACTTCAGCAGCTTATTCCACCAAACATAAGAACCAGTAGACCATAGTGACAGTTATGAAAGAAGGCCACCTTGAGTCTTTAGAAATCCAATGCCTATTTCTAACAAGCGACTCTAAAGACTTACTTCAGTCAACCTCTGATTTGTTCTTTTTACTCCACATCTTATTTCTTCAGGTCACCTCACATAAGTTTCCTATCCTTCCTTTTAACGTCTCTAATGTCAGTGGAAAGCACTTCTGGAGCAGACTTCGCTGCTCTGGAGCTCATTTCCTCACCTTCATTGGCCTTACTCTTATTTGCTCTCCTCTTCTGTTGACACCCTTTGTGAATCTAAATGTGTTACATAATACACTTTGTACTAAGGCACTGCCAATTTGTATGGCAGAACTTCACTGAATTGTGCTGCATCATTATTGCATTACAAAATCTCTTGGTCAACTGCCTCGTTTAACGAAGAAAATGGGATGGGGGAGAGAAGCAGAAGGAAGATGAGGTGAAGTATTATGCTGGAGACATCAATATAGCAGACTCTGCTCCTTTAGGGATGATGGTCTCTGTAGCACTAGATTGCTATACAACATGGAATTGCTAAAGCCAGCACTCATGGAACACTGCTTCTGAAGGATTTAAGATGGTACCCTAACCTACCCAGTCCCAGAGAGCGCTTAAGTTCATTTTCCTCATGCTGCTTCTTAGCCCTATTTCCCCTCTCTCCCAGCTACTGTGCTCCCAAAATGGGGATGGAAAAAACAAGGACTTGGAAAATGGTAGGAAGCATTTCAGTCAATTACGCTTTATCAAATAAAAAACAATGTGCCCATTTGCACTGATGTAAACTGTTCTTTAAATGGCCTTAGGTTTGAATGGTTTAATTAACATGTAAGCCATTGTTTTCTAAAATACCATTTGTTATCTGCTGTTCTGTATTTAACTTTCAAGTACAGTAAAACTCCAATAGTCGGGCATCCAATAGTCCGGCATTCCTGATAGTCCGGCATCAAAATGGCAAGAGCCTAGATAGTGAGCTTCGGCAAAAAATGAGTTACAAGGTAACAGCGGCAGCAGCTGAACTGAGCAAAAAGGGTAAAAAAAGACTTAAAAAAACCACGAAAACATTACAGTATACTGTATACAGTATGTACAATAAAAAGGGTTAAGAACACTTTATATACAGTATATAATGTGTGTATATATAACCATCTTATAGTACCTCCTGATAGTCCAGCATATCTGATAATCCGGCACCACCTAGGTCCCATAGATTCTGGATTATCTGAAGTCTACAGTATTTGGCAGAGCGGGGACACAGAAGAAACCACACCATTGGAAAAGAGAGCTGTTTCTGTAACAGGTGTTCTTTGAGATGTGCTGCTCGTGTCCATTCAACGTAGACGTGTGTGCTCACTACATGCACGAGTGGCAGAAGATTTTCCCTCAGCAGTATCCATACAGAGATGGGTTCAGCACTTCCTGGAGTAGCATGCACATGCCATGCAATACAGAGTACTGCAGATCCCCTCCACACTCAATTCCTTCTTGCCAGAAACTCCAACAGTGGAGAAGGAGGGCAGGACGTTGAATAAGAACATATGAATGGCCATTCTGGGTCAAAAATCCATCTAGACCAGTATCTTGTCTTCTGACAGTAGCCAAAGTATCCCAGAGGGAATGAACTGAACAGGGAATCATCAAATGATCCATCCGCTGTTACCCATTTCCAGCTTTTGACAGAGGGACACCATTCCTGCCCATCCCTGCTAACAGTCATTGATGAACCTATCCCTCCATGAATTTATCTAGTTTTTTAACCCTGTTATAGTTTTGGACTTCAGAATATCCCCCCAATGTCTAGTGCATGGAGGCACCTACGGTAAACTGGAAGAAGTGTCCATGGCCCTGGAAAATCGTGTCGTGAACGTATGTATTTTTGAGATTGGAGGGCGACATGCCAACCTCCCAGACCCAGGGAATGGGTGATGGAGGTCAGGGAGACCGTGGAAAACTTGAGTTTCAACAGATAGTGATTGAGATCTCTCAGATCTAAGGTGGACCGAAAGCCCCACTTGGCCTTGAGAATTAAAAAGTAGAGGGAACAGAACCTCTGGTTCCTGTATTGGGGCTGAACCTCCTTCACTGCTCCCATCTGCTGCAACCCCATAACTATTTGAACAAGCAGATTCTTGTGATAAGGGTCCCTGAAGGAGGACAGACTGGAGCAGGGAGAAGGAAGTTGAGGTGAGTTGCAGGATATATAGCCGTGATGAGGACCCAACGGTCCATAAATATGGAGTGCCAAGCAAAGAGGAAGGGGTGTTAATGGCTGGCAAATAAAAGGGGGAGAATCCGGTGAACTGAGTGGTGTCACCCTCAGGCTCAACCTCAAAAAGGGAATTTGCTGAGAGACTTGGAACGAGTGGAGCATGAAGTGAAGGAAAATGGGGTTGTTTCCTTGGCCGCCTCTTATACAGGCAGTCCCCGGGTTATGTACAAGATAGGGACTGTAGGTTTGTTCTTAAGTTGAATTTGTATGCAAGTCGGAACTGGCATCCAGATTCAACCGCTGTTGAAACTGACCAGCAGCTGACTACAGGACGCCCAAGGCAGAGCTGCTCTGTCCCGGGCTTCCTGGAATCAGCCGCTGATCAGTTTCAGCAGCGGCTGACTTGGGAACACCTGGGGTAGAGCAGCTGGGGTGCTGCCGGGTTGGTCCCCGCAGCACCGAGGTGCGGCACTGTGGGGACCTACCTGGCAGCGCCCCAGCTGCTCTGTCCCAGGCGTCCAGATTCAGCCGCTGTTGAAACTGGCCAGCGGCTGACTATAGGAAGCTAAAATCTAAGGTGTAATAAGTTCTTCCTATAAAGGTGCGTCTGTTGGCCTGCTGGCTACCCTCTGCGATGGGACCCCGGTCCTAGCAGTAAAGACACGGACGTTAACCTTTTCTCGGAAACACACACACACACACACAAACACACTGCCCTGACCGTCGGCTGACAGCTCCTCTAGAGCGGGAATGCTGCCCAATAAAGAACCAAGGCAGACAAAGTGTGGATGGGGCTGCAACTAATGTAGACAGCCCCAGCATTGACATAATGTCCTAGGCTGCTGGAAGAGGCTCCAGGGAGGATGATACATATAGTTGAGCACAGCTGCCCAGACTAGGTGGCAGGGAGTGAGATGGACTACATCTCTACGTTTGAGGTGGGGCCTTGGAGGTTGATGGAGCTGCCTGTCCGGATCATCTCTTCGATTGCCCTGACGTGAGCCTGGCGACTTGCCTCTGCCCACTTTCATAGGCCTCTTAGCTGGAGCCAAGGATGGAGATCGGTGCTGGCGAAGCACTGGCACCCTGTTCCAAGTCAGAGCACCGACTCCATGAGGAGCGCTTTTAGGCAAATGTCTCTCTCTTTAATTCATGGCTGAAGTGATTTGCAGATTCAGTGCTTGTCATTGATATGGGCTTCTCCCAAGCACCATAAAACACTCATCAAGAGGGTGGCCAATGGGCATAAACCTGGGATAGTTGTGAACACACAACTGAAAGCTGGGGCAAGGGAGGACTGGAGCACGCCCAGTCCCAAGGCAACGTCCCTAAGGGACTTACTACTTCTTCTGAACTATGAACAATTAACCACTAAGAAGGAACTATTTACAAGTAAACAGATATCAATCACCAGAAAAGCAACTGTAAGGGCTCTTGCACAGCCATTCCGAGCACCACCACTAGCAGTAAGGAGGAAATGAGCGTAAAGGCAGTGTCCTATATAGCACAGCGTGTGTGTGTGTGCACGTGTCACTCCAGAGGGCACTGAAGCCATCGCCTTATGGATACTGCTAAATGAAAATCTTCCAGCACACACACCTATATTCAATGGACATTAGCAAGCATTCAAGGAAGGATGACACTATTCAAAGGTAGATTTCACAGTGGATTATTTTTGTTTTGAAGTACCTTTTATAAATAGGGATTTATGCAAGGTCAGGCTATGTAAGGAGAAGAACTGATAGCTATAAGCTTGTCTATTGATTCTATTTAGCAGATCTAATCGGCAGAATGCCACGCAGTGACAAGTTAAATCCTGGTGGGTCCCACATATTCCACAGATATGGAGCTTACCCTCTGCTACATAATCATGCTCCAAAGTCTAAGGCTCTGGCTATGTAAGAAGCTTTTATCACTTTCACTAAAGGCAATTTTTTAAAGTTAATTTAATTAAACTGGTACAATCCCGTGTTGAAAAAACACATTTGTTTATATCTTCCTTCATTTGATAATTTACTAATTTAACATTAAGATAAACTGATTTAACACTTAACTTTTGACATTTACATTATAAATTGAGGTTCTTATTCAGTTATTGGAAGCTGCTTCAGAATTTGCAGCACTCTCACAGAATCAGAAATCTTGCTATAGAATTTAGGTCCAGTTTGGTTCTTAACCACTTGATTAAACTGAAACTATTGACCAAGACAAGCATAAAGAAAAAGAAATGGGAGGTTCACTGAATTCAGATGATGTACCTTAAGCCTTGAAATTCCTCTTCATTTTCACTACTATTCCAAGTCCTGGATCCTCCCTCCACAGTTATGCTCATGCCACTCAATCAAAAACTATAGAAACTCACTATTCCAGTCCTGCCTCCTCACACAGTTCTGCCAATGCACCACTTGCAGAACCCCTGTAATTTCTAATCTATAAGGGTATGTCTACACTACCCCACTAGTTCGAACTAGTGGGGGTTACGTAGTCATCCGCAGTTGCAAATGAAGCCCGGGATTTGAATTTCCCGGGCTTCATTTGCATGAAGCCAGCCGGCGCCATTTTTAAATGCCGGCTAGTTCGAACCCCGTGCCGCGCGGCTACACGCGGCACGGAGTAGCTAGTTCCTAATCCGAACTAGCTACTCCATGCCGCGTGTAGCCGCGCGGCACGGGGTTCGAACTAGCCAGCATTTAAAAATGGCGCTGGCTGGCTGGCTTCATGGAAATGAAGCCCGGGAAATTCAAATCCCGGGCTTCATTTGCAACTGCGGATGACTACATTACCCCCGCTAGTTCGAACTAGCGGGGTAGTGTAGACATACCCTATGTTACCAGCGGCATTAAAAATTGTCTCCCAAGTTTGCAGTCTGTTCAACACACAGGTCTGGTCTACACTACCACAAGAAGAGTGATCTAAGTTGCATAAACTTCAGCTACACATATAGTACAGATGAAGTTGAAATACTTAGACACCTCATTAAGTAGATCTTCACTGTGGTGTATCCACAGGAGACATTCTTTCATTGACAGAAGTGTGATTGGCCATCAATTTATCGTGCCTATACTAGACACAATAAATCAACCCCCCGGATTGATCACTGACCATCAATTCAGCTAGTAGCATAGACATACCCTCAGAAGCAATTCAGAAGTTAGAAGAGTTTAGACAGAGAATGAAAACAAAGTCTAACCCCTGACATAAAGCCTCTTCAAATCCTTTCCCTTCATCACACATGGATCCCTGAAACGAGGGTCACCACCATGCACCTTTTCCCTCACTCCTGCACCTACCTCGGTGACCCCGTGTGTTCTTCACCACCATGGGAAACTCCAGCACCTCCGCCTCATCAATCATTTTGGCAAAGTTCTCATGACCACCTGGTAAAAAAAGAACCAAGAAATGTTACATGTTGCCAATCTGATACTACCAATCTAATGTATGAGACTTGCTGGATACAGACTACATCTCTTCCACCTCTGATCTTAAAGACAGCAACATAAACCAAAGGTTAATAGACGACAGGACATTTAGAAGGGTTAATTCTTTTCGGCTCTTTTCCCACTCCACTTTTATCAACTTCTACTTACCTGCCTTCTATCTACCTGACCAGGGAATTCTCTGGAGACACAGGCCCATTCTGACTATGTGTAGCAGAGGGACAAGATGTAATACAGAAACCAGCACCCTCCAAATCCTATCCCATTCTAGTAAAACCACTTGTAGATAAGGACTGAATAATCATTCCATAAAGGAAGTTGTCTCACCTCAAAAAAGATATTTTGGCCTTGGAAAGGGTTCAGAAAAGGGCAACTAAAATTATTAGGGGTTTGGAACGGGTCCCATACGAAGAGAGGTTAAAGTGACTGGGGCTTTTCAGTTGTGCAGTAACGGTGCTTCTTCAAGAGGTGTCCCTGTGGATGCTCCACTCTGGGTGCTGGTGCATCCTCGTACCGGCGACCGGAGATCTTTTTAACTGTTTCCACCGTGCCGTGCACGCGCCAGAGCGCCCCGTGTCATTGGAATCTGTTAGGCGCGCGCGCGGCACGGCTCCTCTGTTCCTTCTGCACCCGTCAGAACCAAGGGCTCCGAGCCAAGGAAGGAGGGAGCACCCATGGGGACACATCTCAAAGAAGCACCGTTACTGCACAAGGTGAGTAACTCTTTCTTCTCCTTCGAGAAGTCCCCACGGGTGCTACATTCTGGGGGTATGTCTATACTACCACCCTAGTTCGAATGAAGGTGGTTAATGTAGTCAATCGAAGTTGCAAATGAAGCCCGGGATTTAAATATCCCGGGTTTCATTTGCATCTTGCCGGGCACCGCCATTTTTAAATCCCCAGTAGTTCGGACTCCGTGCCCGTGGCTTCATGCGACATGGAGCAGGTAGTTCGAATTAGGCTTTCTAATTCGAGCTACCATTACTCCTCATGGAACACGGGCACGGAGTCCGAACTACTGGGGATTTAAAAATGGCAGCGCCCGGCAAGATGCAAATGAAGCCCGGAATATTTAAATCCCGGGCTTCATTTGCAACTTCGATTGACTACATTAACCACCCTAGTTCGAACTAGGGAAGATGCAATTGAGGAAGAGAGAGCATAATGTTGTGCAAAGGTATGGTCTGAGGACCAGGTATCCTGTAGAGAGACATTGCTGAGGAAGGCGGTGGTGGAGGACATCGCCCTGGTAAAATGTGCTGTAACCATTTCAGGTAAGTCTTTGTTGTAGAGTACATAACATGTTTGGATGCACGAAGAGATCTATTTAGAAATCCTCTGACGAGACTGAATGTCCTTTGCACCGTTCCGCATAGGACAAAAAAAGTCTCGGGGCTTGTCGCCAGGGTTTGGTGCGGTCAATGTAAAAAGCAAGCGCCCTGCGGACATCCAGAGTGTGCCAACCTGCTTGAAGAGGATTGGTATGAAGCTTAGGAAAAAAATGCAGGTAAGTATATAGGTTCATTGACATGAAAGGGCAAAAGGACTTTGGGGAGGAATTTAGGGTGTGGTCGAAGTATCACCCTATCTTTAGTGAATACTGTATAAGGGGGATCCGCCATCAGTGAGGCGAATTCACTCACCCTTCTACTGGAGGTTATTGCCACAAGGAATGAGACTTTCATTGATAAATGAGACCAGGAGCAAGTTGCCAGTGGTTCAAAAGGTGGCTTTGTGAGACTCTTGAGAACGTGGTTGAGGTCCCAGATAGGAAGTGGTGGTCGGACTGGTGGGAAGGTATTCTGTAGCCCCTAAGGAATCTTTTCGTCATTGGGTCAGCGAGAAGAGATCCCATGACCTGTACAATGAAACGCTACAATGGCGGCTGCATGTACTTTGATAGTAGTAAGAGCTAGACCTGTTTCAGGTGTAACAAGTAATCCAATAGGGTGGGGAGGGGGGCGTGCTCAGAGGATGTTATGTGAGAAGTGTTGAACCAATGCACCAATCTGTTCCACTTGTAGAGATTTGTTCTCCTAGTGGACTGCCTCCTACTATTGATCAGTATATGTTTCACTGGTTCTGAACAGGCATTTTCAGCATCTTGGAGCCATGAAGGAGACAAGCATGAAGATGTAGCTTGTGGAGTTCCGGGTGGAGATCCCTCCCGCAGTTCTGCGATAGTAGGTCGTGGTGAAGTGGGACGGTGTACAGATCTGCTAGCTTCATCTTACAGAGGTAAGGATACCACGTCTGTGTGGGCTGGTGCCACAAGTATGGCTCGAGCACGATCTAATCTGATCTTGTTGAGGACCTTGTGAAGGAAAGGAAAGGGCGGAAAGGCGTAGAGAAGGGGACCATGCCATGTGATCGAAAAGGCATCGCCGAGGGAGTGCTTCCCTAGAGCTGCTCTTGAACAGTAGAGGTGGCACTTTCTTTCCTTTTGTGGCAAAGAGGTCTATGTCTGGTTGCCCCCACTGACGAAAAACTGGTGCAACAGTGTTCCTGTTCATCTCCCACTCATGTTAATCGTGGAACATTCGGCTTAGGGCATCTGCCGTGACATTGAGCACTCTAGGTAGGTATGAAGCTATGGAGGTAACATGGTGCGTAAGGCACCAATTCCATAATCTGATGGCTTCCGTGCAAAGGGAGTGAGATCACGCCCCTCCCTGTTGGTTGATATAGTACATGCAGGTAGTATTGTCTGTCATTATGGAAATGACTTGTGAGTTATGTAGGATTGGAAAGGTTGGCGAGCGGTCAGGTATGCATGCAACTCGAGGAGGACCATTTGCCTTGAACTGTGATGGTGCCTAGGTGAGCTCTCCAACCCATGAGTGATGCATCTGTCATGATAGTGAATGTGGGAGAAGGTCGATGGAACGATACGCCTTCTAACATATTTTTGGGGTTCGTCTACTATTGCAGCGAGTTTAGAATGCAAGGTGGTATAGTTAGTCGTTTGGAGAGAGAGTCTCTGGAGGGCTTGTAAGTCGTGGCTAACCATGACTGAAGGCCTCTCATATGAAGTCTGGCGAGCTCGACCACATGTGTCGTGGAAGCCATATGCCCTAGAATCTTGAGACAGTCGCGTACCGTCATGGTAGGAACTAGTTGTGCACTCCTGATATTCTGCATAATACGATGGCTGATGCGGTAACACGGGCTGCGGTATCTGCTACATCCATTGCGGATTGTAGGGCAGAACGCGAGACTGCATGACCTTCGTGCATTATATTAAGGAGTGTTGACCGTTTATGTTCAGGTAAATGTTGTGCCAAGTCCTGGAGTTTGGAATAATTTGTGTGATCATAATCCTCAAGCATTGCCGTGTAATTTGCTGCTCGAAGGAGCAAGGTAGCCGAGGAATAGACCCATAATGTTTATTCTCTTGTGATCTCTATCCTGTGGTGTCGTCTTTAGGTTAGGTTGTCTCCCTTTGTGGCGAACCGAATCCACCATTAGGAATTAGGTGGTGGATGGGTGAAAAGGAAATCCGCATCCTTTGGTGCAATAAAGTATTTGCGGTCAGCCTTCTTGTTGGTGGGGGAAATAGACGCAGGAGTCTGCCAAATACTCTTGGCTGGGTCCATAATGACCTCATCCATAGGGATCACCAGTCGAGAAGTAGTAGATGGTTCCAGTGTACGTAGGAGCTTATACTGTTTAACTTGTACCTCCTGTAAGTCTCGTTCCTCTGCTAGCGCCACCCTTTTAAAAAGATCATGAAATTTCCTAGAGTCATCACCGGATGGTGGAGCCTCTGGTGTGACAGCCTCATCAGGAGAGGATGAGGAGTTATGTAGAGGGGATCTGTCTTCGCCCTCTGAGAGAGAATCTTGTATCTCAGAGCGACTTGGGGAATTTAGTTCTGTCATGGACGCAGTAAGAGGTGGCGAAGCCGGTGTTCTAGAAGTTGTTGAAAGAGGATGATGACGACTTTGCTTTGGTCTTGGCTCGCATGGCTGCCATTGAATAGCGTATGACAGCGGTGGGTAGCTATATTGTTGTGCATACCATGGTGGTGGCAGAGGTGGGTATGCGTTTTGCGTGACCGAAGGCTGCCAAGGAGGAGGTCTGTGGACAGGACTAGAATGTTGGGAGGAGAATCTACTCCTGGGTTTCATACCAGCATTGCTTGGAGACCGTGAGATGTGGGACGGTCTGCCTGAGTGAACTGACTGCACCAAAGAAGTTGGTGAAGTCGGTGCCAGCAGTGAACGGCTCCGTACCGGCGAGTGGTAGTGCGCAGCGTGGTGGCTCGGTGCCAAGGTGCGGGACTTGCTTGGTGTCGATGGCGGTGCCGAGCGGCACGGGGGCAGCATGTCAGTGCGGGGCTTCTCCACAGTCGGTGCTGGCAACCGGTGCCGGGGGTGTTTCGGCGCTGAATGTTCCTTATGGCCCGCCAGTGTGGCTGGTGCCGAGGAGGACGACGGTGCTGATGCTTTCTGTCTCAGATCAGAATGCGCTCGCTTGTGCGGTGCCAGCGTTTTGGCCGAAGCCGTACCAGACATGCCCGGCTTGTATGTGGTGCTAACCCGTGAGGCTGAGGACGCCGAGGGTAGCGAACGGGTCAGAGAACGAGCAGTTCTCGATGCTGCCGGGGTAGACAGGGCAGAGGGACATGACTCGTCCATACCCTTGGTCAGAGAGGCCATTTATGGAGCCGCTGGTGGGTCGTCAGATGGAGATCGTAGAGACTTCTCTTAGAGAACTGTTTCCGCCTATTAGCCCTGTCCCTCCGTGCTCTGGAGGTCAATTTAAAGCAGTGCTGGCACTTCTGAGTCTGGTGGGATTCGCCAAGGCACTTAATGCATTCCGCATGTCCATCAGACACAAGCATAGCATCCCGGCATGTCTAGCGCCTTTTAAAGCCGGGAGATCCCGGCATGAGGCGCGGGAAGCAAGTGGCAAGCCGCAACGAGAGAAAATTTTTTTGTTTTGTTTTTTGTTCTAACTATAGATTAGGGTAGGTAGTAAGGTTAAAAAAAAAAAAAAAAAAACAAAAAACCTCAGAATCTGAGGTAACTGTGCGAATTAACCAGGTTATTTTTTAACCAAAGATGAAGAGGAGAAGAAGCTCCATCTATTGCCGAGGACGATAAAGAAGGAACTGAGGAGCTGCACCCCATGCGCGCCTAACGGATTCCAACGACGCAGGGGGGTGCTCTGGATCGTGCACAGCGTGGTAGAAACAGCTAGAAAGATCTCCGGTCGCCGGCGCGAGGACACACCAGCACCCAGAGTGGAGCACCCAGAGGGACCTCTCGAAGGAGAAGAGGAGACTTAGGGGGGATATGATAAAGGTATATAAAATCATGAGCGGTGTGGAGAGGGTGAATAAAGAAAAGTTATTTATTAGTTCCCATAATAGAAGAACTAGAGGACACCAAATGAAGTTAATGGGTAGGCAGGTTTAAAACTAATAAAAGAAAGTTCTTCTTCACATAGTGCGTAGTCAACCTGTGGAACTCCTTGCCAGAGGAGGCTGTGAAAGCTAGGACTATAACAGAGTTTAAAGAGAAGCTAGATACTTTCATGGAAGTTAGATCCATAAAAGACTATTAGCCAGGGGATAGAAATGGTGTCCCTGGCCACTATTTGTCAGAGGCTGGAGAAGGATGACAGGAGACAAATCGCTTGATCATTGTCTTCGGTCCACCCTCTCCGGGGCACCTGGTGCTGGCCACTGTCGGCAGACAGGCTACTGGGCTAGATGGACCTTTGGTCTGACCCAATACAGCCATTCTTATGTTCTTAATTCCAGGCAGTTTTTAGTAATAAGAATACAAGGATTTGTAACTCTTATATATTATTCATAGATCTGAGTTCCTCACATCTCAGTTTGCCTCCCTAACTCCTGGATTAATGTTTCCCTCTGCAAGTAATACAGCCACCAGAACAGTATTTTTAAATGTTGTTTACCTGGAAACAGCTTAACATTCTAAAGGTTACCTGAGCTCAATTCACCCTTTATTTAGAGGGCTGATTATAGTATAGTGAACAGAAGAGAGGGGGTTAGGGAGAGATCCCTCAGAGACTTATGCAGTAGAGAACTCAAATCAGAGTGACTGATGGTTTGAAAAATCAGCAGCAAATGCTGCTGCCCTGGATTTTGCTGCTCACAATGGAAAGTAAGCAGCTCAACATTTCCTGCTTTTCTTGGCAATGACACCCTTTACAAGCCAACTACCACTTAAACAGAAGAAGGGCAATCCTAAACCCAATTTATTATGCAAACAATACATCTGTTATACAGAAAGCTGTGAAGGATAAGAGATGCATTTTCACAAAGAAACAACATGCACTTCCCCTGTCCCAATTGTTGGGGCAGCAAAGTCTCTAATGCAAGGAAACAGTCAACTTGTAATACAGTTAAAAACAAAGAAGTTCCCATACTAGATAATATCACAGATCTTTTTAGCCCTGTATCCTGTGTCTGACAATGGCCTGTATCAGACACTATAAGAAGGTGCAGTAAAATCATTTGTAAACAAGTGAATAATTATCCCATAGAGGAAGGTATCTTCCTAATCCCTGGAAATTTGTAAGTAATAAAGTATAAGTAGGATTTGTAACCCGTATACATTTTTTCCTGTCCAACGTAGCTGTGGATGTGCCTGATCATATACAGTTCTAATCCTTTGTCAAATACAACTCAATTCTTGACGTTAGCAACATCCTGTGACATCAAGTTCCACAAATTATCTATGTGTTGAGCAATAGACATCTTCAGCGGAAAAAGCTAAGTGTTTTAGATAATCTTCACAATACCCCACATTACAGATAGAGAAATCAAAGCAGAGTCTACATGACTTGCCCACGATGTCACAGCAAAGCCCAAAGTAGAACACCCAAGCAGTCCTGACTTCCAATCCCCAATCTAGCCACTATACAATATTCCTTTAGGGCTGTTACACACTTCAATAATAATAGCCTTCCCAAACTCGACTAAATGTTTCAACTGTTATTAGTATACTGCTCTTTTAACCCACTGGCTTACCATAAGAGAAGGTGTCTGGAAGAGGCACACCATGACCAGCCAGCTCCTGGAAGGTCCAGAACTTGTTGACACAGTTGAGGATAGCTTGGGGCCGATTCATCAACCGGCAGCCCATCTTCTCCAAATGGCGAAGGACTGTGATGTCACTGTCACTTTGGACCCAGGGTGTTGGCACACGTACAACAACCACCTGTGGATAGGCGGTAATGAGCTCCCCATTTACCCGGAGACCTGCAAAAAAGAAGGAAAAGAATGCCACTCCAAAGGGACCAAAATGTTGACAGATGGCTAAACAAAGCATAGAAATAATTATATTACAGGTTGAACCTCTTTAATCCGGCACCCTCAGGACGTGACCAGTTCTGAACCAGAGAATTTTCCGGACCATGGAAAGTCAATATTGTCTACCAATACTTTCACCGCTTACTGGACTGTTAGAGGACATTTAGGGGCAAATTAGAACTAAACAGAACAGCTCTCAGTGTTCTACGACTGGTGGTTGTAAACAAACTTTATGGGACTGTGGCAAATTCGGCCACACCCATGAAAAGTAGACCTCTGATTAACTAAAATTATTCTGGATTACTGATGTTTCTGGACCAGAGTGTTCTGGACTAGAGAGGTTCAATCTGTGCCAGAGCACACCATTGATCTTTATTCTATGTGTAAGAGATGTCTAATGCTCTATATTTAAATACCACCCCATTATGAGAGTAATCTACGTGGTCAACTGTCCCATTTTGTACTAGGGACGTTAGCATGTAGTTGTTTACACTATTAACCAATAAGCCCAGGCTTACTGGTTAATACTAATGACTAGGGATGTAATAGTGTAGTCGATTAACCGATAAGCAAAAGCTTATAGGTTAATGCTACAGACTACATGCATTCCTCCCCCACCTCCTCCAAGTAAATTTTTTAGTAGGATGGCCAGCAACCTGGCTCAGTCCTGGCTTGTGGCAGGTCCAGGACCTACTCCTGCTGAGGTGCTGCATTTTTAGAGCTAGGCTGGCAGGCAGCTCAGCTCAGCTCAGTTCCGGCTCATGCCAGATCTGAGAGCTCAGATTCCCCCTGCCCTGAATAGGAGCTGCTGCCACCCTATACTGCTGCCTCTGTGTCAAAGGCAGCAGCCTGGGGCAACAGGCAGCTGGTCCGCCAAGAGAGCTGGTTTTTAAACCAGCTCCCCTCGCAGACCAGCTCCCACCTGGCACCCCACACTGCTGCCTCTGATACAGAGGTTTCAGCAAGGAGTGGAGGGCTCTTCAGAAGTGGGGCCAGAGTGCACTGGCTGCCACCCCCGCCCCCGGGTACTTTAGAGTAGTCAACTAACAAGAAAGAATTCATGAAGTTACTTGACTATTTGATTAACTGATATTTAACATCCCTACTAATGACTATGCATAGCCCCCCCCCCCTTGCTGTCTCTGTATCAAAGGCAGTGCAGGGGAAGAGGCAGAAGCTAGTGCCCATGCCTAAGGAGCTGCCTCCCCTCCCTCCACCTCTAATAAAGAGGCAGCAGCATGCGGGAGGGTGGAGAGAGGGAAGGCAATTGGGAGCCAGTACATGTGGGAAGCAGCTTTACAGCCGCCTGCCCCCCATGCTGGTGCCTCTATGGAGTAACTACTAAAAAATATCCATTATTTACACAAATACACGTTAGTTAACATCCCTATTTTGTACAAAGGCAAAAAATCTTTCCTATCCTCCATGATATATTTAAAAGTAGGACTGACCAATCCTGGACTAGCCCCCAATGAGATGAATTATTAGAGATGGTAAAATAGCAATCTAATCAACAGCCTGTAT